GTCGTCAACTTATTGTTGAAACATACAATTATTTTTTAAGACTGTCTCCACAATAAACACGCTTGATAACTCTTATTCATTCTTTGCAATTTTGGTTATTCTATGCACTTGCGGGCGCATGTGGTGTAGTGATTAGAGGTGCTTTGTCTCGCACACAAGGTCAACGGTTCGATCTCGCTCTTATGGCTCACCAAGCCATCCATCCCGCCGGAGCAGTGAATTGGTAATAGGCTCGTCTGAGAGGATAACAACACTGGCTCGATACAGCGGTAAGCCACAGCTGCGAGTCACTGTAAAGGCCAGATATGCATTAAGTCACCTCAAGCAAAGTTAGAAAACGAAAACGAATGCATGGCCCATCTCTCAGATTTTGGTCAAGGCCGAGAGCTCTATCACTTTTTAGTTTTAACTATCTGTGGCTTTGCGAAACTCGCATCAAGCCGAAACAATTATATGTGCAATTTTATTCCTATGATTTTATAGCACGATTTTACCGAGTCTAAATTAATCGAAATTGAGTTTCAGAAAATATTGCGAGCTAAAGTCTTGAGGTAAAAATGAGTTTCAGCTTGGCATACACCAACAATGTGTGCAGCAATATTTGTTGTTTTATTTGCAGGTTTCATAGCGGCGAACTAATATTTCTACGCCGACCTAGTGCTATTCCACTTTATGACAAAGTTGGTTTTTGATGTTGCCCTGCCCATGATGATGAGGACATCTGTCTAGGAATCTAAAATGTTTGTAAAGTGATCTTATAATCTCAGCCTGTTATTCTCACCACAGTCACAATGTCCCGATAGGAACTTTTTAACAGCCTTCCATGTGGAAATTTTTTCATTGGTAAGATTACTTTCTGAAGTTACGCGAGCCATTAGAGTAGCCTCTAGAGTTTCTCCGGGCCTACGTAATAGATCGTGTGCTTGTAAAACAGTTTTCTGTTAGTTACTCAAATGAGTCGATGATGATGAGCAAACAGGCGACGGCATTTCACTTCTGCTTGTCCGGCCTAGTCACATGCAATTCAACCTTACATCATCATTAGTAAATAAACGGTTCAGATGCTAACTGGCGTTTATCATAAGCGCCTCGGAATCATTTATTCGTTATTTTCAACACTTAATCGAATTTATCAGCAGTTTTCTTCTTAATCGGGGAGCCGTGGCCGAGTGGTTCTGTGATGCCTGTCGCGGAGGCGCGTGGAGCCGTGTTCTACCACCCCTCCTTCCCCCCCCCCCCTCCCCCTCTCCCCTTCTCCCTGGCAAACACGAAAATCCAACTTTGTCAAACAAACATCAAAAACATCAAAAACCAACCTGGGAGTCAGCAACAACGTCCTATGGAAAGTCACAGCAAGGCTATCCTCGACACTGCAAGGAGACTCGCTCAACCAGTGTTCTACGCCGTTTAAGAATAAGACGAAAAACAAATTGAATTTTAGATGTGTTGGGATCTTCACAATGAGAAAAAACATTGTGCTGACGGATCAAATAAAGTGCTGAGTTTCCTCTTAATAGTGTTTGAAACGATTTCAGCGTCGTTGGGACCAAACACTCACAATTCACAGCTCCCGTTTCAATTTTATATTGAGCTGTATATGCCCGCCCATGACGGACCACATGCATGGCCCAATAAAACAATTATTAGACATAATGAAATTCGAGCTTGGTCTCAAGAAAACATTCGAAACGAAAGGTATGATATATTTGACGATACCAGTCGAGAACAATCAAGTGTAAAACACTGCCCATGTTTTATGTTTTAGTGATGTTTCCACTCAATGGCAAGTGTAAATAATACGTCTGCGCCTTCTCTATGTACGTAATTGGACACATCCCGAGAGGACTGGCTAAAGACGAAAGACACTGCCCAACTGCCGAGGTTGCCAAAGCCGAAAACGCGCGATGGGCTGTATAAGTTCATCCGTAACAGACCATATGCACGGCTCAAAAAATAATCATCAGGCACTCACAATTCAGTATGACAGCCATTTAAGAAAGAACCGACTCTACCAAAATTCATCGACAACTTCATTTGAAAATGCTCTCACGTAAAACTGGAAGATTATCATATGGTTGGTGGGCGGAAATGAATCGAATGCGTGAAGTGCTGGAATCTCCGCAGTAGTTACGTTAAACAGGTCGTGTAAAGTGTAAAACAGTACTATAACTGCTGTGATTAGTATTAACATTATATCTCTGTTACTATTTGTAACAGCGCTTCCATAGGTTCGTTGTTTCTTCTCCATAGAATGGCAAGGAGTTGGCCGCTCGGATCCCGTAAACTATGGTAGCTTGGTGGTAGGCAGAGCCTTGAGGACGACGACGACGACATCGGTTTCGAAATCTCTCATCCCACTAATGGTTGTTTGTCATCTTTATTATGATACTTCAATGTAATTGTTCAATGTCTTCTCTTGCTTTTTTATCATGATCTGTGGTTCGTGAAGCCCATTACAATGTCAGCGGAACTCAGAGAGTACAGTGGACAACCTCAAGTTGGTTCTGTTTGACCCGCAACCGCGGAAATGGGTTATAGTTCCATACATATATAATCGCCACTATCAATACCGACATTTTCAGCAACTGGTTACATCCGTCGTTCTTCTTCCGTGTAAAGCATAACCGCATACCTAGAGTCCACCGCTTAATTATGTCCCGCAGTTCAACGTTCAACGCATCAATCCGTAGTCATCTGCTTCATGATATTTCCGTCACATAGCAGCATGTTGGCTTTGTGTACATACTGTCTATGATGTTATTGTATTGATGCATATATATTTGAGGTTATTGTTTATGTGGATTGATTGCTTCGTACATATAGAGGACTGTTCTATCATCGTGCTCATCCACAAGACTAAGACCGACGTGGCGTAAAGGCAATCTAATCTACCAGCATATCAAAGTTCAGTCCATCGTGACTACAGATCGTCAAAAATCAAACACTGTGGGGCAACCACATAGGAGCATTCACCGCAGAACCATCCACACACTATTATTTGAGAAAGCTTTTTAGTAAAGCTGATAGAACTAGAGTAATTGCGGTTCCACACTATAAGTTAAAAATGGGTCCTAAAGCAGCAGAGACAACTTGCAACATCAAGGTCCCATATGAGCCAAAAACTTCTACCAGACATTCAATGCAGCAGTGTCCTCAGCTAATGATTTATAAATAACTCGCAAGTCCTGGTATATACAGCTCAAGTGAAGAAATACAAGCCTCATCTGATTTTTCTTATGACGAAGTACCTTGTTTCAAAATAACATCTTCAAAAGGGGTGATTTTCTTCACGAAGTGTGGTCTGAATTGATCAAGAAAGATAGTTTGTATTACGATGCGTTCAATTGACCTGGTGTCTAGAATGGAGTTTTTTTGGCCCTCTAGTATGTTCCACTAGTTTCTACATATATCCTCTGAAAAACGACTTCCATTTAACTTCAGGATTGTCATTCAATTATACTTTCTTGATTGATTTAGATAACACGAGGTTGTTAAATAAACTTTGTTCGGCTAGGGTTTGACGTCATCGTTTTCTGAAGAGCCAGTGATTCGAATTTATCGTCTACAGCGTAACCAATTAATTCATCGACGTCGTGTAAGCTTAACCCTTTGCGATGGAGGCCGATTTCGTTTGATGGGCGGTTTGGACGGCCACGAAGAGAGGCTGGTTGTGTGCACTACAATGCTAATGTGGTGATGAACTTTATAGCTTTTTCGAGATTAAATGGGGCTTCATTTGTCAGTAAGTGGTCAAATATGTTAGAGGAGACTTCAATAAGGTAATTATTAGTAAATGCAGTGCTAGAGCTATTTCATAGCCCGATTTATTGGAGGATAAAAGGATAAAGCTCTCGGCGTTGATCGATCCCTAGGGGATGAGCCATGCATTCGACTCTGACTTTTAACTTCGTTTGAAGTGAATGAATGTATATCTGGTCTTTACAATGACTCGCGGTGGCCTACCGCTAAACCGAGTCATTGCTGCTTAGCCTCCCAAACAAGTATGAGACCTGCCTGGTACCAATTCACCGACCTCGGAGGGATGGATGGCTGGGTGAGCCATGAGTGCGAGATCGAACCATTGACCTCGTGTGCGGCGCAGAGCACCTCTAACCACTGCGCCACATGCGCTCTTTATTGGAGGATAAAACCAAATATTTAAAAGGCCTTGAATCTCTATTTTATAAACCACCAAAGAGGTACTGATAGACTAGTAGAAAAGCCCTTCTTTAGAAAAAAAAGAAACGAATTCACGTGCACATTCCACAAAATTCTACTGTAGAAATCGTATCAAAAGCAATGATTCTCAAAACCATTAGGCGTTAATCTTATTCAAAATACTTTTATAAGAATTTTCTCAATCATATTCAGTTTTTCTAGTGAAAAAGCTTTCTAAGAAACGAAATCTCGCCCTAATACGAAACAGTCCGCTGTGAAATAAAAAACTAAACTCCCATAGAACATGCCATAAAAATTTTTTCACAAAAAACCCAGTATTCCCATCGAAACTTGCTAAGCTATCGATTTGTTACAAAAACATGAACAAAAAATGTCCAATGACAATGATAAGTAATAAAATTGCTAAAAATAAAAAAATACTGAATGAAAATATACTGATCGTTTCGAATGTTTTCTCAAGCCCACGCTCAAATTCCAACATATCAGATAATTCGAAAATCTAGTGTTTTACTGCTTTTTTCGCAGTGTTGTGATGTTACAAAGATAATTGAGGGAATTGGGTGGTGAGCAAAAACGCGGGTTCGACTCTCGCCAGAGGCCATGTTTTTGCTCACCACTAAATTCTCTTAGGTATATTCGCAATGGCATAACACTGCGAAAAAAGCAGCAAATGTATCGAGATTTTGAAGTGTTACATCTAAGAATGGCTGTCAGCTCAAATGGGTTCAAAAAGCGAAATCACATACCCGACCAATCCTGTTAAAGGTTGGTGGCTGATATCTAACATAAAGATGTTGAAGAATGAGTGGTAGCGCAAATGTGCCTTGGTGGTGTAGTGGTAGAGCACACATCCCCGGATAGGATGAAACGCTGGTTTGATTCCCAGCTGAGGCTGTGTTTTTCTCACCACTCAATTCTCTCAGGTATATCTGGTAATTATTTCTTTGAGCCATCCACGTGGTCTGTTATGATCAACTTATAGAGTCCAACACACGTATGTTGGCGTTGGTAGCCTCGTCAGCAGAAATTATGTTCCTTTTCGCATGGACGCGATTTTCCACATGAAAAAGGGAAGGTTTCAGTATTTGTGTTGATTTTGATAAAACTATACAGAAGTTCGTTCCTTCAAAATGTTAATCAACACGGATTTGTAATGGGGAAACCAACAATTTTCGTAACCTTTATTCTGCACGACTGACGAGACTGTAAGGTCGAAACACGTGTATCGGGCTGTACAAGAGCCCATAAACAGACCACATGACATGTTTGCTCAGATAATAATTATGAGGTATATTTTTGTACCCGTTCGAACAAAGCGCCCGGATGAGGATCAAATTGACCCTCACAGTCCACAATAAGTTAATCATTCAAAAAAAACTTTACCTTTGTCTCATTCATTACTCTTCTTGTTATTATCTTATTTATTTAGATAGCATCATACTGCAAAATATGGAGTCAATGGCGCTGAGTGAGCTTTTGCTTCCGTCCATTATCGTGCAGTAAAATACTACCGAAATACGAACAATTAAATGGAATGTGCTGGCAAAACTATTTTTGATTTTCTGCATGAACGGCACTGTCATTTTTTATGTCAGTTGTAAGCACTGCTATTTAGATGGACACAGCTAATGCCTTGCTGCCTTTGATAATTTGATTAATTATGACGAGTGTCGAATGACGAGTGGAGCCTGTCATTCTTCTGAAATTGGGAAAATGGTACCAGGCTTGTCTGGAAGCAACCAACTTCCTTCATTCAAGTGAGATTTAAAGAGAACCGATTTGAGCGGCATTATACGGCATTCTCGAGGAAGACGACAACCGTCAAGCAGCAGCCATGCATAGACGCCACTGTAAGAGCGTGAATAACTAATGGATTCAAAGAGAATAGAATTTATGGTGTACTGGAATCCGCACACTAATTTTATTCCATGGCGTTCATAGAAAAGACGAAGTCCTCAAGCACCAGCGGAAACTACACGCGAAATGTTTGGAGACCTTTGTAGAGGATGCATGCGAGAAAACGATACGAACACGGGAAAAACTGGAATCTCATAGTAGGTGCGAAGACAGGTTGTGTAAAAAAAAGTAATTACAAAGACAGTTTTTTATGGACCACTCCGGCGCGTCAGTATTGTAGAGGATATCAAAAGAATACTAGGAAACAACAAATAAACTCCTAAGGATAATTATGCATACCCTATAACCGACTATCGATTAACCTCGGCATTGATTGAATGATTCCTTAATTTTCTCATTCAGCGAATACGATGTTGCTAATTTGAAGATTTATTCGTACAGGTTAAGAGTACAATACACGTGATGGCTGACACTTTGGCTTGGTCACCTTCTTCAGAGCCTAAAAGAGGGAAATTAGGGTCTCTAAGGTGTTTTGTGGAACGACCGCTCACAGTCTTGCACGAAAGAGGAGTGCGGTGTGAGGGAAGGGGGAGGGTCGCGTGACCCCGACCCTAAAACAACAACAAACGGTACGTAATCTGTTCTGCACTGGTTTTGAGAGTGCTTGACTGGGTAAGTTGCATACTAATTTGACTCTTTGAGGCTCTGAAGAAGGCGACCAAGCCAAAGCGTCAGCCATCACGTGTATTGTCCTGTTTACCTGTACGAGAAATTAAACTCAACAATATCGTATTTGCTGAATAAGAAAATCAAGGAATAATACATGCGCTGACCTGTGCGTTATGCGAGAAATTATCGAGGATGTTGGAGAACAGGTACATATCATACTCAGACTAACAATATGGCTTGATGTTGTCTTCTTAAGACACGTACTATTTTGATGATGTAGAACGCTATTGTTCTTATCTGGACAGGAGGAATCTGTGCATCAATCTTACACAGTATACAATCATTTATACCCCTCTTCAAAAAGCAATTTTACATTAAAAATCACATATGGAGCCCTAATTCAACTTTTTGCTCTGCTCTACATAAAAAAGTAATCATCACTTGTACATAATCAATCATCTGAAAACTCATGAAAATCAAATAAGGATTTGTTGGTCGGACATCCTAGTGGAATACTCAAAGTTGAAATTATACAATCGTTTCTAGCATTCATCTATTATTAAAATCGGTCTCGAATACCAAATATTCTCAAAAATATATAGTGGGAAAAAATCATCATCCGCGGTATAAGAACGGTAGATCAGGCCGAGCTCGTCTGCTGCATTTGAAGAAGCATTTTTGCAACTGGAGCCTAAATGAAGTAAACGGCTATAGTTATAGATAAATGACAGTAGTGAGAAAAAATCTTGCACAAAAACATATCTGCCCAACTGACGACACTGCCTATTATGAAAACGGGACAATTTTCTTAGGGAAGGTGAACGAAGGAAATTTTTTCTTTCAAATTTTTTGAGATTGCTAAACGCGATAGTTGCTAAGATGAGAGAATCGTCCCACAATCAGTAAAATGCTAAAACAATTGTTCGACGTCATTTCACCTGTCCGTTTCTGATGAGCGCGTCTGTCATCGGTCCAACCCAATGATTCTTCGTCTTCAGGAGACAAATCAAGGCGTCAACTTGTGCTGGGGTCGATTCCTGAATTTGTGTAGTTCAGAGACTGTGATACGTGAATTCCAATCTATTTCTTTCCCTTGGAAGAATCTACTACAGAGCTTCCGGTGAAAACAATAAACTTTGAAAATTTTCGAAATTTAATTTTCCGTGCTGTACGCTGACAACATCCATAGGGGACACATTTTGCGGTTAATATCCTATCTTATGAATCCATTTTAGTAGTAAAAGTACAAACAACAAGTGGTAGCCACAATATAGATCTCTTTGGAGCCATTTCTTGAAGCTCTTCAAGCATTTTTTGATCCTTTATTTTGTAAGCTGGACGATAAAACGTTGATTATCCAATATTATATCATACCTTTTGTTTTGAGTGTTTTCTTAAGACCACGCCCCAATTTTGATAGACAGTTCAAAATGTTCGTCGTCGCCTACTATTATTATTGGGAACTGAGCGCCCCAAGAGGATTGGCTAAACACGATGGCTACCGCCCAACTGATGAGACCGTCAAGGTCGAAACACGTGTGTCGGGCTTCATAAAGTCAGCCCATTTAACAGACCACATGACATGTTGGCTCAAATAATAATTACGAGATATGACACATTACATCTTTTATAGAGGAGTAGGGGCCCAAGATGATTGGCTAAAGACGAAGGGCCCGCCTAGCTGACGAGGCTGCAAGACCGAAACACGTGTATGGGGCTGTACAGAAGCCCGTTACCAGAGCATATGACATGCTGGCTCAAATATAAATGAAGGGAACTATAGTAATTTGAGCGTGGTCTCAATAAAACACTCGAAACAAAGGCATAATATAATAAAAATACCAGCCAAAGAGCATCATTTAATGCGAATATTGTCCTTTTAGAACCTCAAATAAACAAATAAGTTTATATCCCTGTAGAAGCGTGTTGATACGTACTCGCCGCTGCCGCCGCGAGCGCAGCGCACGCAATGTACCGAAGACGGTGCATATGGTCGTCAAGTGGTTAACAGACCGCATGACATGTCGGCTTAAATAATATTTATGAGATATATCATAAATCAGTTTCCAGCGCCTTTCTTGATTATTAATTTTTAATTCATTGCTAATTTCATTGCCACTCCATGATTAGTTGAGACTATACGGATTAATCGGTAAAAATCAAGCTACTCTCAAGTAATGTCATCTAAACATGACGGAGAGATAGGAAGAGGTGTTCCTGTTTGCTGAGCAAGATTGCGCAAAGAGGTGTTTATCCCCAAGCAATGTCTTACTAGCTCAGAAATCCTGAATCATCACTCGTAACCTATTAGAAGTAGATCACTGCCCGCTTGGTTAGCCTACATACACGTTGCTGCTGACGACGAGACTTGGTCCACATTATACTCGCCGACATTTCGACGGTTCCCCCTTCAGCAGAGCCAAACAAGATCAAATCGACAAGCAATCTAGTAAGTCGAACACTTTATAACCTCAGCAAGAAAAACTTGACACGTAAGCTTTCCATTCGGTTAGTTAATAGCTTCTTTTGATATATCAAATAAAATAAGTCTGATCTAAGCAACAATAACCGATATTAGTAATAGCTGTGAGAATGTTTACAGTCTTTTACGGAGCTGGTACGTCAGCGGCTTACGTACATTTCAGCAATGTTGCCCGCCTCACCAGAGCCACACCTCTTACAATGAACACTACTTTATAGCAGGGATGGGGAAACGTTGTGGTGATAGCACATAATAATGTGTAGTCATCACTTTTCAGTCGATGAAATACGGCTGGTAGTGAATATGCACTTATCCATATAATAGTAGATAGATATAAACATACATATTAATAGATAGATGTAGATATCCATATCAGTTATACCAATCTGGGTGTAAAAAAGGGACAGCGCAGTGGTAATAATGACATTTTCCACGAGATCTGTGGAGAACATCCACGTGCACTGTTCTTCATAGTTTCTCTACATGCCTTCCCATATTGATTGTGCTTTTCTCCTAGCAGTCCTCATTTCTTCCATATAATCGAATAGATTTCAAATTAGCCGATATTAGATCGGCGTGCTAGTACTACCCCATGCAGTGATAATCGCCAGGCATGATGGCGTTGCATGCTTGCAAAATTCTCGCTCCATTTGAGCGTGAGTAAGACATACCGTTTAGTTAGTACTGATTGGATGCCTACATCACAGTCATTCTCCATTATGTGAAGTAGCTTGAACTGCCCAGCTACGTATTCTCACAAACAATTGTGTATTTATACTTCGTAGTCATAAAATTAGCGCACAGGTCACTGCTTGATCGTTTGCACAATTTCCTACCCTTCTTACTATTTTTGTCTACTGTATATGCATTACTAAGTTCTGTTGCG